TTCAGAATTTGTCATTTTCATATTGACATATGTAAAAATGAGTTATTTATTTCAGATTTTTTCTTTTGGTAGAATTATGCAAAAATGCTTCATATGCTTCATATTTTGTGTTTGATATGTGAATATGTCTTTTTCCTATAGAAACATGTAAAAAAAGCTTAATTTTCGTCAGATTTTGCTTTTTATATGTTAAAATGTGTCATTTTCTTCAGATTTTGACTATTAAAGTAATATGCAAAAATGCGCCTATTTCTTTAGATTTAATGCTTTTTCATATAAAAATATGCAAGATTGTATCGTTTTCTACAGATTTGTCTTTTTCATATAGAAATATACAAAAATGAATAATCTTCATGAGATTTTGACTGTTTCATTCAGAAATTTTTCACATAGAATATCGAAAAATTGGTCATTTTTTTAGTATTGCATTTAGAAATTATGCAAAATCTGTCATTTTCTTCAGATTTTGTTGCTTTCATTCAGAAATATGCAAAAAATGAGGCAATAACATCATATTTTTTTCTTTTTCATGCTGTGATAATGAGGCTGTGAGATGAATAAACATTAATCCTAAGCAGAAGATGGATTAAGCCCAAAATGAAATATAAACTGGAAGCTAGAGAAATAAAAAGAGAGAATGAAAGTCATTTTCCCTAGTAATGTAAAAATGAAGAAAGTGCCATCTTGGTTGCCTCGCGCCTACAAACTGGAACAATGCACCGAGAGTTTACATTTTTATCTATCGAATATACGGGTAAAGCAAATTGGGAAATGGCTTTATCTTATTAGAATAAAACATGTTATTGCGGAAAAGAGAAGCAAACGGGAATTATATTTTCGTTAGCGAAAACGAATTGAGAAATTAAAACAGAGAATGAACCCGTTGCGAGGGTTAAGATTATGAAAATCAATCTGTCATGACAGGCACGCGATCTGGTTTATGTTTTCGCTAAAACAGGAATAGAGTCAGGGAATTGAAATTAATTAGGAGAATAACCACGCCCTTTCTCTCACGCACTTTAAAAATAGATTTGTCACAAAAACAGTTATGTCAGCCCTGAGAAGTGGGCAGATTAGAATACAGAGAAGGAAGAAGGAAGGGGCAGAATTTAGCTTCACCTGTGCGGAGTACCGGTGCGAGATGTGAAGCGAAGCAGGTTGGAGTTAAGAGAACAGCAATCCCTGTGACTACTCCCAAAGAAGGTGGATAATGCTCCAAATTTGGAAAGTTGTTTAAGAAAGCAGAAATAGAAAATAAAGAAAACCTTTATTGGAATTAATGAAAATGGGGAAACCACCGAATCCTCAGAACCCTTCGGCCCCACGCCAGTTTTGGGTCGAAGTGCATATAAGCAGATGTCACCAGATTTCCTAATTGCAAGACTTTGAACCGAGCTCCTTCAGAAGTTTAGACAAAGCCCAGTGTCCCTATAGAGATTGATGCGGGAAGGGTTAATTTTTGTGGTACCAAGAGATATATAAACTAATTGAAGATTAACCATACGAATCTCTCGCTTTACTTTTCGTCGTGAAGATATTTTTCTTCTTTAATAAAGCACCCGCCACGGCTTGAACCAGCGCTGCGATTACGACGACCTTTAATCTTCCACTGCTCAAGAACACAGCGTGGGCAGGGTCAGATTAGATCAGCGTCATCATTGACTAAATCTGTGCTTAAAACGTCGTCCTATGACCCTGAGGACCAAACCCCTAAACGTGGTTACACCACCGAGTGTAAGCGGCGAATGGTGTTATATTCCTACTTTAACTTTTTTAATATAGCCATTTACATATTTTCAAATTTTGCCTTTTTACATAGAAATATGAAAAAGATATATTTTCTTCAGATTTTTTATATTTTATATAGAATTATTCAAAAATGCAACAGTTTCTTCAATATTTTACCCTTTTTATAGAAATAAAAAAGTCAGCTATATTTTCTTCATATTATGCCTTTTAAAATATAGTAGTGACAAAGTCATGTACATCTTTCAGTTTGTGCCTTTTTACATAGAAATATAAAATCAGTTATATTTTCTTCGACTTTTGAATATTTTATATAGAAATATACAAAAGAACTACATTTTCTTCCATATTTTTACTTTTTGATATAGAAATAAGAAAATCAGCTATTTTTACTTCATATTTTGCCTTTTTGTATATGGAAATAAAAAAGAAAAACGCATTCTTTTTTGCCTTTTTATATAGAAATACGAAAATCGGTTATATTTTTAGGTTTTGCATTTTTTCTTTTTTTTTAAATAAATCAGATATATTTTCTTCAGAATTTGATTTTTATGCAATATAAAAAATGCATTTTGATTTTAAAATGAAAATCAGCTACATTCTCATCAGACTTATGAAATACAATAATTTTTTCTTTAGATTTTGATTTTTGTTTTATATAGATGTTCAAATATCAGCTATATTTTCTTCAGAGTATGTATTTACTTACTTTTTAGATAGAAATATGACAATCCACAATATTTTATTCAAATTTCTTATTTTTTAAAATAGTTTTTTTTTTAAATTCTGGTACATTATTCTATTTTGCCTTTTTATGTAGAAATATGAAAATCAGCTATATTATTCTTTGAAAATTTTTGGATTTTATTTTTTCCTATAGAATTATAGAAATCAAATATATTTTCTTTAGATTTACTTTTTTGGCTTAGAGAAAACAAAATATGCCGCATTTTCTTCATGTTTTGCCTTTTTCATATAAAAATCTGAATGTCATCTATATTTTCTTCAGATTTTGACTTTTTGATACGAAAAAATATTGCATTTTTTGCAAATTTCTTCTGTTACAAAATGTGAAATGTTTCTTCAGATTTTGATTTTGTTATATCAAATATATTATCAGATATATTTCACATATATTTCATCAACTATATTTTCCCTTTTTTCATCTGATGTTTTTATTGAAAAATATGAATGTCTGCTATATTTTCTTCTGATTTTCATATTTAATATAGAAATACACAAAGATGCTGCATTTTCATCATATTTTTTGTATAGAAAAATGTAAAAAATATTTTCTTCCCACTTTGATGCCTACAACACCAGGTAAAATCGTGTAGCAACCCAGACACAGAACCAACAAGTGATGATCTGCATCAAACATACCCTTCAACATAAAAAGTACTTGCCAAACATGACATCACAGTGTTAGCAGATGCGAACAGAAAGGACAAGGAAGAGGACCAGAAAATTGCCACGGTCTGTTTTGCCTTATGTCAAGAGTTTATGGAATAGATTCAGAAGATCTGCAATCCATATATCATCAGGACAATATTCAAAAGCAATTACACTCTATGGAGTAAAGCCTAACAATGGGGAGAACATGATTAAGAATTGTAGTTGTGGCAGAGAATTTAATGGTGAAACATGCAACTCCCTAAAAGTAGGGCTGGAGAAACATTGAAAAGCCATAGTGAGAGGTGAGATGATGAAATTTGGCATTGCTGATCATGTATGGACAGAAAGGTGTGGTCATCAGTCCCTGTAGCATGAAGTGAAAATACTGGACAGGAAGGAACATTGGAAAAATAGCTATCTGAAAGAACCAGCATATATGCTAAACCTAGCATAGAAATAAATACAATACAGATTTTTTTATAATTTTGATGTTGAGGTTGTCTATTTTATTTTTTGTATTTTTATTTTATGTATTTATTATTCTATTTTATCTATTTTTTAATTATTTTATTTTTTAATAAGTTTGGTATTTGCTTTGAAATAAAGTTTATTTGTTTTAGGTTATAGATTATTAGTTGTTAATCTTTGAAATTCTGATAGCATAGTAGGTATTTTTTGTAGCTGTAATTGGAAATGATCTCTGATCATTTCTTTAAGAGTTTTTATTGTTCTGGAAAGATAATTATTTTTATTCTTTTCTCTAGACAAAGATTGTAGTTACTGGTGCTGGTTTTTATTTTTCATGATGTTTTTACTGTGCTTTGGTTTGTGGTTTTAAGACACCACATTTTGAGAATATTGTGGTATTTGCATGGTTTTTGTTGTTAAATAATATTGTGTATGAATAGTTCCTCTGTTTCAATGGACAGACTGTTATTCTATAGCTGTATTTTCAAGCATTTCTCTTGAATATTTTGTGCAGCTTGCTTGATTTTTGAAAGTGCTTGTTGATAAGTTTCATAGTATTTTATCTATATTCATTTTACATTTTTAATGTACAGTAGGTTAAGCCATATGATGTACTTCTTTTTCTGTTGTAATTTTTATTCTATTTAATGGGATAAATATTTTTAGCAAAACAATTGTTGTCTTTTCATCAGATGAGATTTTGAATAAACATATTTCTGTTCTGTTAGAATAACTAAATAATCTGATAATCTGATGGATTGTGGGATTTACTTAATTATGCTTGGCTGGAGAAGAGAATGTATGCAAAATGGGTTGCTGTTTGGTTTTATAAACAAAATGTCAGAACTCATCTCTAAATGCTGCTAAATCTTATGCCAGGAAGGTGTTGAGCCCATGAGAGCCACATTGTCCCTACAGCTCTCACATAGCACTGAACATCTTTCAGTCCCAAATTAATCTGCTGGAGGTCCTGGCATACATGAAAACAAATTCCTAGTACACTATCAACAACCACATCAATTCCAAAGACTAGAATAAATAACCTATAACCTATAACTAGTAGACTTTCTTTCAAAGCAACTATCAAAGTTTAAAATCAAAGAAAATATGCAAAATGAATACATAAATAAAAAACAATAAATAAAATAAAAAAAATCAATGTCATGTTACACTTGACCAAGCCTTTACAAACTCCTTCATGATAACAGCAATTTCTAAAGACATCATAAATGACATCATCATTATTAGTGATAAAATGGTGACTTTCAAATTCAAGTTAATGTTATTCAAAACATAACTGTTCTGATTGTTATTTGAGTCATTTTAAGAAATCACTCACACATTCATATTCTACAAGTCACATTTATTGAATATTTTGTATCTATTTTTAGGTTTTCAATATCTGTCAATAAATATTACTGAGAGCCCTGTGCTGCAAACCATTACAGAACATACCTTAAAATCAGTGCACATTAAAAAGGATCTTTTTCCTAAGGAAAATCTATCAACTCGGTAAGAAAAAAATAGTTTATTGTTAATTCATAAATGCATGATTCAATTTGTGGGTTCTTAGGGCACAAACTTATGAGATAATAAAATAAAACATAGTTCATTAATTGAGCTATTTTTTATTGTGATCCAAAATCATAAGAAAATTTTAACTCCATTTCTGTAATATAAGATTAAGTTTTTCTGTGGTTCCAATCAAATTTCATTGAAATGAGTCTATAGACAATTTTTATGGCAAATTATTCTCCAATTGTGTGAAACACTGGACTATAGTAAAATAAAGCAAACATATTTCTATTCTGTTAGAATAACTAGATAAATTCCTAGATTGAGATTTTCAAAAAGATTGATTTTTATTTTGAAAACAGATATAGAACCATTGAGTGTTAAACAATCAGTCTAAATATTCAAATATATGTACAGTTTTATTTGAAATATACCACATGCCATGTATCTGCTAGGGTCTAAAACTTATAGGTATTTATCCTAAACAAATCAGTCTTTCTAAAACTCATTATCATCAAAACAATGCTAAACACATTGAAGTTTGAAATAATTGATTTCCTTAAAAAAATGTGGCCATCACAAACAATATATATATATATATATATATATATATATATATATATATATATATCTCAAAATAAATACAAAGAACAGTCAGAGTTATTCACTGTTCTTTAGCGAAACCATTTTTAAAAACCAGTGCTTCATACACAGTATTATTATTTAAAAATATGTATTCATCATGACACAGAAAATAACATGCTTTGGAGCTAAAAACTAAACTTTGAATTAAACTTAAAATTAAACTTTTTTGTTCCATTCTCAAGCAATGTTGAATAACTTTAAAAAATGATTTACTTTTTTTAAGCTAAATAGTATTATATAGTTTAAGTTGGAGGGGGGAAAAGGGATTACAAAATTTTAAAAGCGTGTTGCTTTTTTTTACTAATCAGGATACACGTTCTAATTTAAGATGGCAAAGTGTAAGTATAGGTTAAGGATTAGGTGTGGGTTTGTAATTTCTGCCTGTCGATACTGGCTTCATCATATGAGAACATGTCATCTTGTCTGATTTCTTTAAGGGCATACATAAGATACACTACAATACATTGGCTTCTTTTATTTATTTTTTATAAAATACATTGGGATTGTCTTAAAGGGGCTTCAAATATGATTAAGTCATATTTTAAATTTTTATTTATACAGATGTAAAATACTTATTTGTGATCAAATAATAGATATATAATTATGACATTTTTTAAATTAATTATGTTTTAAAGTAAACATAATGCAGTGTCTACAAAAAAGAGTTATTTCTTTTCTTTGATTTAATAAATCTTTATTTTTTAGAAACTTAATAATATATAACTTTTCATATAGGCACAAAGGACATGGATCATTTAAAGACCTACAAGTTTTTGTTTTTTTTTAACAATTTTTTTATTTTACTGTGAATGTTTTATTTGTTTCGTTTAAATGCCAAAATATTTGCATAGTGATATTTGGTTATGATACACATTATTTTTGAAGAAAGACAGATGTTATTTTTAGTGCTACCAATATAATTTTTTTTCAATATTAGATGAGATAGTACATTGGTAAACTATAGATTCTGTGTGACATTTATTATTCAATAGACAATTTACAGGATTCCTACAGATACATAATTTTTCTTTACTATTATTTATTCTTATCTCTGGATCACTGTTTTTTGATTCTGGTTTAAGTATTTATTTAAAATTTTATTATTACGTTTTTTATAATTTTTTTCTAAATTATCAGTACAACTATAACCTAATTTTAGGGTATTTTTATTAAAAATTTTGCTAAGCGAATTATTTCTTGAAAAATATTTTTCAATTAAAGCAAGAAATTTATGTCCTAACTTACTACTAACCATTTGGTTGAATGAGGGTGTGTACCAAACGATTTATCTATTTCTATTTCTTTTCTGGTTATGAGGAAATTTGAGGAAGTCTACAAACTTCAAAATTGATAAGATTAGAAAACTAATACATACAGAATTTAAGTGCCTAAGTTTGAAAGTTACTATTCTCTGACTTCCTCCAAAAATAATGTGTATCATAACCAAACATCCCTATCCAAATATTTTTGGCATTTAAAAGAAACAAATAAAACACCCACAGTAAAATGGAAATTATTAAAATTAAATTAAAAAAAAAACAAGAACTTGTAGGTCTTTAATTGAGCCATGACTTTTGTTCCTATATTATTAAGTTTCTAAAAAATAAAGATTTATAAAATCAAAGAAAAGAAATAACTGTTTTTTGGAGAACCCTTACCTAACTTTCCACTTTCAACTGAGTCTCTTTGGGTGATTTGCATATAACCCCTTCAATCATCTCTAATCGAGATCCCCCACAAAGCATGTGGACCTGATGGTATCCCTGTAATAGTCCTTAAGAAATGTGCTCCCAAACTGGTTCCTGTTCTTTCTAAACTCTATAATAAATGCATTGCTGCCTCTTGCTTTTCTGCTTGTTAGAAATCTTCATCTCTTGTTCCAACCTTTAAGAACTCAGGTGAGCCATCTGACCCTTCCAGTTATTGGCCTATTAGCCTTCTACCTCTTTTTGACAAACTACTAGAGCTCTTAATCAATGTTAAATTAGTTAAGCAACTCACATCGCAGGGCCTTCTTTCAGACAAGCAATATGGCTTTCATTTCTCTAGGTCAACTAGATGTATTAACAATTATTGTGGAAAGAGTCTGTCAAGCTTTATATAAGAATGGTAAAGGTTGAGCTGTTGCTTTGGACATTTTGAAAGCATTTGACAGGGTTTGGTATACAGGTCTTCTTTGCAAGTTGAAAAGCAAACAAATTTTTGAACTGATTCAGCTTTTCATATGAAATTGTGATATGAAAGTTGTCCTGGGTGGACACTCTTCTAAATCCTTCTGTACTAATGCATGTTTCCCCCAGGGTTCTATCCTTGGTCCTACTTTGTTTTTAATTTTCATTAATGACCTTTCTGATGACATCAGCTCTCAACTTGGTATCTATGCTGATGACACAACCATTTACTCCTGCCTTGATAGTAAGATAAAGTTTGATAAAGTCAAAATTGGCAGCTGATCTCAAAAACTACTTACAATCTGTTGTTAACTGGGGTCAAAGAATGGCTTGTTAATTTTAACATCTCTAAAACAAAACTACTCTCTATTGATGATCTGAGAGATCTCTTTCTGCTTCCCATCAGCATGGCTGATGCTAACCTCCAGGAGAGTGATTCATGCATTCTCAGGTTAACATTCCCAGCTGATATGAAGTGGAAAAACTACATTAAATCTATTGCTAGGTCTTCTGCTAAGAAAGTTTATTCACTGTATTATGCTAGACAATTCTTCTCTCCAGGATCTATATCTATAAGTCTACCATTTGCCCATGCTTAGAATATTGCTGTCTTATATGACTGGATTCTCTTGCTATATATTTAGAGATCCTTGATAAAATCTCAAGAATCAGCAATATTATTGGTTCTGATCTAGCATTTCAACTTCAGTCACATTCCCACTGCCATAAAGTTACTTCACTGTTGCATTTTCTATAAATACTTTCATGGTAATTGTTCAGATGAGCTCTTCGCTATAATACCAAGACTTTATGAATTTAAATGCAGTATACTAGACTGTCAACAAAGTTGAATTGGCTGGATGTAACCATAAGTTCTATGCTAAGAGTTTCTTTTCTCGCACTTCTCCCTTGTGGAACTCTCTTCTGACTCCATGCTTTCCAGGCATCTTTCATCTTCAAAAATTTAAATGAAATGTCAATCATTATATACTGTCTTCCTGATTACATTTCTATTGTTCTCGCACCTTCATAATGTTTCTGCTTTTCTAATTCTTTCACACCCATTAGCCCTTGTGTCCAAGTGGCTTTACTGCCTTTCATGGGTTAAATTCAATTCTAACGTAATAAACCCTGCCTGTTGCAGCTATGTCCTGTCTCCCCGGTGGTTCTGGCCGAAAAAGGAATCTACCCGATCTCGCCCCCCCCCCCGGTGAACTGAAGGAACCACTACTATTTGCCATGTTGTGAATTCTTGATCCGAACAGCAGTGGTTGGTCTCCCCAGAACGGTCCTGTGGGGAGGGGAGGAAATGGCTGGGTATTACACTGAAAGGAAACCACTATTCATGCAAAATTTTCTTGTCATAGCCGCAAAGACATGAAAAAGAAAAAATAAGCAACTCTTTCAGTTCCTGTACAAAGAGCCCTTTTTAGGCCACTGTTTTTATGTCACTACCAAAGAATTTACACGAGTACAAAATGTCGTAACGAGGTTCACTCATTTGGGGTCAGAAGTGACAGAGAGAGAGTAGGAAAATTTCTGCCTAAACAATTTCGGCTGATCTAAGGGATGTAATTCGGGGATCTTCGTCGGAGCATGTAATTATAGCAGTTTGGTTTCTCAGCTTTGTTAGCAAAATTAACTGGTTTCATACAGGGTCTGTTTCTGGGTTTAGATCGGACCTCTTGGGCGTGTGACAACCAACCAACCGGACCAGCAAATTCCAACAAGCCATTTCTTCTGCCTTCTGCCGCATTCTAGGAGCCACTCTGTTCTCTCCCCGGTTCTGCGATCTGACTAACTCAAGTGTGCAAGCAGCTTATATAGAGAGAGGCGGAGCTAAACCATCTTTAGGCACCGCCCCCGAATTTTAATATGCAAATCGCCTTTGACCACCATGCAAGCTTTTCCGGAACCCGAAACTCCGCGGGAACCCAGTTTTCAAGATATACTAAAATCGGAATCGGACCTCCTTTTGGGTCTTCCGCAGACAACGTCTACTTAAGTTTTGTCAAAACTACTTATCCCGTCTGGTTGAATTCCGCCACTCAGACCACCCAAAAGTCAAATTCACCATTTATCACAAACCTTACTTTAACAAACTCGTCTCTTAATCACTCTGGAATTATTACATTTAATTAACTAATAACTCAACCCCAGAAACAATTATTAAGAGAAAAAACAAGAAAAAAAAAACTTATTTCTGGAATTACTCCGGAACCCTTTCTACCCAAGTAATTAGCACCTTCATCCTAATTCTTTAGCACTCTTGATTACTAAATCCACCACTTGTCTATCTCTATGTCACACAATTAAGAAAAAAACCTCTTTATATGAACTATGGTAATGTCTACAGAAAGGTGCTACATAAAAATCTGCGCAAAGTGGGTTCCCAGGATGCTTATAGACTCCATAAAGAATCAAAAGTTAGTTTCTACTGAAGAGCACAACAAAGTAGCACTCAAAAGAAAGAATAAACACACACATGGCTGAAAAGTAGAATGTAGACAAGAAGCTTCTACGGTGTTAGTATTCATGCTCTTGTTCAAAAGTGAAATACCATGATTGGAAAAGAAGGATACTATTTCAAGAATTAGATTAGGAATCCTGAGGCTTTTGTGTTCATTTTGTTATGCTATAATTGATGAAGAGACAGCATTACCTTTTGACCAAAGTTGTATAATCTTATCCATTTCATATGATGAAATGTGTTGGTGGATGTGAGTAAAATTAAGCTAAAAGTTTTGATACTGCCAAATGTTAAAAAATATATATTTAATTGTTATTTTTACAATTTCAGTGATTTACAAATCATTCTTGTTATTCTGGGTTCCTTGCTTTTAAAATCCTAATCTTAAAAATCTAACGAAGAATTGAATTCTTTTCATTCATTTAAAAGAACAATTATAATCATGCAAAAATTTTTAAAGAAAACTACTTTTTATTTCATTTTTAGTAACTTGCTTTGAGATAATTTTTTAAAACATTAGTATTTTTATTCTCAGTGGAAGAGCCTTAAATTTGAAATACAAATGAAAAATGAAATTCAACTATTTTTTAGAACTTAAAGTATTGGAAAACAGATTTTCTATTTTATTTATGCCTGACTACTGTTTTGTCCCATCAACCACCTCATATTCATGTCTTTCTTTTATACTAACAATGGCTTTGATTCTCGTTTTTAAAACAACAAGGCCATTGTTTATTTCCGAAAAACGATTTCTGCCACTTCATCATATGTTAAATTGATGGATTGCTGAAGGATGAATTCATGATGTTGCCTGTAGCGTGAAATTTATCAAATTATTGCCGACCTGCAGAAAATCTTTGTGCCTTCATGAACTGTGCACATCACTTATTTTAATCAAAAGCAACAGTTGTGTCAGGATCTGAGCAACATTTGAATATATATAAATATATATATATAATAAACAGTGTTATATATATATATATTATATGCTGGAATTGAGTGCTGTAGAGCAACTTTCTCCAGAGCATTATATATATATATATATATATATATATCAAAACCAAATTCCTAAATGGATATGTACTTTAATACAGTGTCTGGCATGTGGGATATCCAGTGGATACCAAAGATCAATCTTAAACAGTGTTGGTGGTATCTCTTTAGAGTGTCATGACAACCCATGTATATAAATAAATAAATACATGCAACAAAGAGTATTTAGATATAATCCTTGAAAATGGCTAGATGTATAGCTGAAAGCCATTGTGAATAAAAGAACGTTCAAATAGTTGTTTAATATTTTATTACCTGAAAAAAAAAGAAAAACATTAGATCTTCATGTGAAATTGTACAAAAACTAAATAAAAGCACCTTGTCTATTTATTCAATGAAATGCACAAGGATGATTTTGCCTAAATACACACATATATATCATTTCACCAAGGCCATAATGCCACTAATATATAGAATATAAAACCTTATATATATATATATAAATGGACAATAAAGCAACAGATGAAGAAGAAGATGATGATTGATGTTTTATTTAAATTTTTGAAGATCTCATTAGCAAGGAAGATGTAAATGGTATAGTTCCACAAGCAAGAACTTACATTCATGCATTTGAGGTACTATGAAGAACAGCTCATCAGAATTATTGCCATGAAAATATTTGTAGAAAAGACAGTGGGGAAGTGACGTCATATCAGTGTGAAAGTGGTTGAAGTTGAGATGCCAGGTCAGGATCGATTACATTACAAAACCTACTTTGAATTTTGTCAATAATATCCACATATATAGTAGAACCTGAACAGATTGTAGTATTCAATGCACAGACAAATGGTAGATTTATAAATGTGCAACTTTCCTAGCAGATGACCTAGCAATTGTGAGTGCAATAAGATGCAATGTGTTACTCTCTTGGCAGATATATTTGTGTTTGTATATGCAAATGTCATATATAATTATATCTGTAAAGATTTTTTTATACATATACCTTTTGCTCTGTAACCCTTTGAGGAATGGTTCTTATGGATTAGGAAAAAATGGTGAACATTATTATAAAAAATGTCATACAAGAAATTATACACCTGATAATTTGTCTAACTGTTATTTCATTTTATTCATATATGGATGAGAGAAGCATCAAAAACTTGCCTCTAAAACAGCTCGAAAACCACTGTCACTCAGTAACTGTATTTTATCTTTTTCAGACACACACAAACTGATGTCAGCTTTAAACCAGATTTAATGTGACCCTGTTTTAATTTTTCTTGTCAAAAAGCTCCCACATAATTGTGGATTGATATCTGGACATCAGGGGCCAAATCTTTAGGTGATGTATTTGTACAAATTATTTAATCCATTCAATTGCTTCATAGAAACTTTTCTAATGGATTTAAGTCATTTTGCCACAAGTGACTAAAATTATTTTGGTTTCAATCAGGTCTTCACAAATGTTTCTAAATTGACAGTAAATTAATATACAAAAGGAGATTAAAATTCTTTGATTGTTGTTTTCAAAATATCAAATGGTTATACCTTAACTGTCACTGTGAATGTGTCTGCATCACTTGAAAGTTATGAGTCATGAAGAAAGATAATATTTTGACTTAAAATATTTTACAGAAATTTTTCTCAAGTTATTTTTAATGCCCTAAAAATAGATTCATGAGTTAAATGTATATTTCTTTATTTTAAAACAAAATCACATAGATACATATCTAAGTGGGGGTATTCTAAGTCACATTTTGTTTGTTAGTATATCTTATGTAATGAAATAATTTGTTGCATGAAAAATGGAATCATAGGAGCAACACCATTACTTTAGATACATTTTCCTTTAGTAAAAATATTATTTTATTTATTTTCAATATATATATTCCTTCTATGTACTTAATAAAAATATTATTTTATTTATCAGAACCAATATATATTCTTTTCGTTATGATACAGACTTGGGGAAAAATATTATTTTATTTATTTTCAATATATATATTCCTTCTATGTACTTAATAAAAATATTATTTTATTTATTTTCAATATATATATTCCTTCTATGTACTTAATAAAAATATTATTTTATTTATTTTCAGTATACTTGATTACCATCAAAAGTGAGTATCTTTTTTAATCAACCAAATAATTTAACCTAGTTACATCAATGTTGAAATGATCAAATCTGGTATAGTGTAGGCAGAAATGAAAGTGTTAATCATACAATATGTGAATATAGCAAATTAGCTCAAAAGAATTACAAGGTAACCAAAAAAGTTCTGTCCATTTTTTGATTAGTCATTGAATGAAGTTGAAATATATACGAAATGCGTGTAGCAATTGTTTTCAAATTCGGACAGCCGGAAGTAGGAATATCAGACGTTATAAAAAAAACACTCGCACCATGCCCGGCCATCAGTTATAAGCCGGACAGCTGTGAGAAGGATGGAAGTGTCTAGAGATCTCGTTCGGGGTTGTTTGCTTTACGACTTCAAAGTGGGCTTATCGGCAGCTGCATCAAGTCGCCGATATGTTAAGCGTTTGGGGATAGTGCTGTGGACGAACGTACTGCAAGGCATTGGTTTCGAAACATCAAGTCGGGATATTTGTCTCTCCATGATGAGCCTCGCAGTGGACGACCACAGGTCTTGAATGACGGAGTCCTGAAGGCAGCCATTGAAGAGGACAGTATTCTAACGTGTGGTGAACTTGCAAGACAGTTCAACGTTTCCGATGAAACAGTTAGACTTCATCTGCACCCCCTAGGTAAGACGTACAAACTGAGCAAGTGGGTTCCGCAAACGCTGTTGGAGGTCCACAAGGGACAACGAGTGGCAGCCTGCTTTCTCGCCACCGTATCGCATCCTTATTCAAACGAGTGCTTGCCAGTGAGGGTTCTGTACGAAACTCCCAAGCGTTCCAGACATTGGTTGTCTCCTCAGGATGCTGTCCCTCACACCGCAAGACCGCCTATGCACCCACGCAAGATTATTCTTTGTGTCTGGTGGACAGGTCGTCAAGTGGTTCATTATGAACTGCTACCGACGAGCCAAACGGTCATTGGGACCTATACAAGCAGCAATTGAAACGTGTGCAACAAGCATTGCGCCAGAAGGATCCAGCACTGGTGAATCGCAAAAGTGTGCTTTTCCTCCATGACAACGCCAGGCCGCATGCCGCGCAAGTGGTCAGGAATACCATACAGCAACTTGGATGGGAGACTTTGTGCCATCCACCTTATGCACCTGACCTTGCGCCATCCGATTACCACCTCTTCCACTCCCTGGATAATCATCTTCGTGGGAAATCCTTCACCAATGAAGCAGACTTGCGCAAAGCCCTCACGGACTTCTTATAATCAGTAATGAATTTGTGCTTTTATTAGTAACCATTTTTTAATCACATTTCTCTAAAAATGTTTTATAATGGAAATATTCACGTAACATGAAATTTCATCCTAGAACATGAGGCATGCATTTTTTATATTTGCTTTAATTTCATTTGCTCGTAAATTCTCTTTTAGTTTTGCTCTTGACTCATCTGGAGTATCTTTGCCAAACCTTCCACTTAGAATAGTGTCTCTATTGTGATATCCCTATAACTCCTGTTATCATCTCTAATCTGGATTCCCATAAAGCATGTGGACGTGATGTTATCCCTTCAATAGTCCTTAAGAAATGTGCTCCTGTTCTCTCTAAATTCTACAATAAATACCTTGCTGCTTCTTGCCTTCCTGCTTGTTGAAAATCCTCTTCTGTAGCTCCAGCCATTAAGAATCGGGAAAACCGTCTGATCCTTCTAACTATCGGCCTTCTACCTTTTTTAGTACTAGAGGCTCTAATCAACTCTGAACTGTTTAAACATCTCACTTTGCAGGATTTTCTTTCAGATAAGCAATATGGCTTTCGCTTCTCTAGGTTATTGCTGAAGGAATCTATCAAGCTTTAGATAAGAATGGTGAAGCTCGGGCTGTTGCTTTGGATATATTTAAGGTATTTAACGGGGTTTGGCATACTGGTCTTCTTCACAAGTTGAAAGGTTATAGTATTTCTGGATGATTTTGTCCATTTCATACCAAGGAAGCGACACTCCTTCTCCCGGGGACCCAAAACAATAACAACAAAAACAAAGGGTGTAACTCATCAATGATTACTGATGATACACCTTCCTCTGTCCAGATTCTATGATTATTTTTTTTCATACATAGTCCTTTAACTATTTTGGTTTTAATGTTAACCGTCCTTTACTAGATCTTGCTTCTTGATCCGCATTTTTAAATGGATTCTGCTTTCTTTTCTTTCTTCTTGAAAAATGGCTGCACCAATCCCAAATCTGCTTTCATCTGCACTAATTATTATAGTCTTTTCAGGATCATAGTAGGTTAATATTGGTGCCTGTGTCAACAGTTCTTTGACTCTCTGAAATGCCTTTTCTTGTGGTTCATTCCAGGTCAAAACTGTATCTTTAATAATTCTAGCATTGGTTGCAATATTTCTGCTAGATTAGGTATATATTTGCCTAAATATTGTGTCATTCCAAGAATCCTCCTTAAATCAGCTTCTGAGGAAGGTGCTGATAGCTTTAATATAGCCTCGATCTTTTCCTTACTGGGTTGTATCCCGTTATCTGATATTACGTGTCCAAAATATCGAATAATCTTTTTCCTAAATTCACATTTATCTGACTTCAATGTTATTCCTGATTTTTCTATTACTTCTAATGTTTCTCTAAGTCTTCTATCATGTTCTTCCTTCAATTTTTCTAGTAATTCTGTCATTCTTCGTTGAAAAATTTCTGGAGCTGAGGAAATTCCAAAAGGAAGTCTCTTAAAACAAAATCTTCCGAAAGGTGTTATAAAAGTCGTAAGCAAACGACTTTCTTTATCTAACGGTGGAACCCGCTAGCTGCGTCCAGTTTGAAAAGATTTTCAAACCCTTTAATTTAGGTGATATATCCTTCAAATTTGGGAAAGGTGAGGAAAGTCAACTCGCTTCGACACCAAATAGATCAGGCTTCCTAATGAAAAGCTCATAAAAATATCCCCGAAAAGAAAAGTAAACGTAAAGCCTCACAGATGCCTTCATTTATAGTCACTTGTAGCCCGTTCGTCCGACAATGCGACGCTCGCTATATGTCAGTCGTTCGCATTCCACAGTTCAGCGGCCATATTCATCGCCTGGGAAGTCATTTTTTTTAACCTAGCTTTAAATACCAGAATTTGGTCATTCTTGATAAGCAAGGAGGCTAGCTCAGACCTATCTACAGTTACTTCTCTACTAACTCCCGATTTAAGAATTCACCAACTCAAGATGCACTCTGCCTTATTTAAACTTTTAACATAGAGTCACTTCCAAAACATACTGCAACCATTCGTGTTAGCTATTAAGATGGTTACAGATTAATCTTCATGCTAACGAGGTGTCATAGCGGATCTCTATATATTTTATTTCCCATAATGCTGTAGCCGGTGCTTATATCCACCGGTGAACATAGTATATGTTTACGACCTGTATACCTGTATATTAAGATACGTTATCCCTCCTTTTCTTATAACTAAACTTGCAAGACAGGCATATATATGTTATTGAGGCTATTAACTATAGGTTGGATGCAATATTTATTGTTATTGTAAGTTCTCAGCTCGTTGTATAAGTATGTTGAATAAATGTCTCTTTTTCTGTTCCGTTCTGCACACCTATTCATATTGCTATGCCCACTCTCCATATCTGTCCGTGGCTCTTCCGTGCCTGGTTTGTTTTGTTGTGGGATTTCGGTTGAGTTTGACTTCATTTCCGCTGGATCAGAGAGTGGGCGAAAATCGGAATGGGTGATAGCATAAACAAAAAATGCATCGGGTGGCTAAAATAAACAGGGAGCACGGGTGTCCTGAGCAGAAGGAAATGCGTGCTTGCGTGGGACCACACGAAGTTGCGTCGGCGACATACCGGAAGAAGGAATAGCCACATGAGGTTGCGTGGGTGCCCAAATGTTATAAAAACGGTTCAATTCTTGGCCTGGCAGAGAGCCTGTCTGCAGTTTCACCGAAGATTGGTTTCCGTCAATTCCTGTGTGTGCAATCCTAACTTCTGTGATTCTCCCTCACTCTACCCAATCGCCGCAACTCAAATTTTATATATAAGTGTTTCGTCGCCTTATTTGAGTCCAGCAATATACAACATATTCGATTTGATGCTTTCTGACCGGATGCGTCTACGACACATTTGATAAAGAACCTGGGTACCATGAAACTCAAGAAAACTCTCAGACGATCGTGGGACGACATCAAGACAAGGTAGGTGACTTTCGGTTTTATCTTGCGTGTATTCTGCTCTTGTTTACATATTGAAAAAAACATTTTGTTACTTTTGCAAGATTTAATATAGAACAACACGCTTTCGCCGATTTCGTTCAAGGTATGACCGCAGAGTTATGAAACGTGGCTTGTTTGGTGATGAACACGCTGAGTGGCGAGTCCTTTTTTAAAAAAAAAAAATACAGCCACTGGTGCGTAGAGAAGATGGTCGGTACAGGACTTGGTTAGATGACATGCAGATGTATTTTTAAGTTGTACACGTGGTAGATGAATACAAATATTAGGCGGCTCTTCTGACAACGGGAGGTTCAATCGAGCAATATGTCCCGCGGCTTACGTGGGGCGAGTTAAACTGATCGTTAGAAGACTATTACGGGGTGGTTTCCAACCCCATTGCGCGTATAGTAGAGTTAGCTAATGTTAAGCAGGGTAGAACAGAGGGAGTCCACGACTACATGCAGAGGGTAGAACACCAGTCTAAGAGTACATACATAGGGGTTGACGGGGAAAGTCAAGTGGTTAGGCAACAAGCGTTGGGATTCTTCATATAGAGCCTAAGAGACCGAGATATTAAGATGGCGGTGGTGAAGGACGAGCCGCAAACGTTGGAGACAGCTTATCAGAAAGCCCTATCCGAGTTAAAGTGGAAAATCCGGCTCGATGTAAACACGGTATATGATGACGAGCCGATGGAAGTTTGCCACTCTAGAAAGCGGGTACAAACTGAAGCCATAAATCTTGATGAATTCGAAAGAGATAAGGATAGGCGTAATGAAAAGAGAAGTACTAATGGATCGAAATATAAAA